CTTTCTTTTGCATATGATTCCTCAAACTAGACATGGAATAGAGTCCCTGCAATGTATCTGTATATTCCCCAGCCATTTCCCCATCAAATATGTGCCATGTATGGGATGGATGGGCTAGGTTGACTTTGGATAACCTTTTAGCCCTAACCCTAACTTTGTAGTCTAAGTCCAACTTTTGTAGTCTTTTGTAGTGTATCAGTAAAATTTGTAGTCTATGTCTGACTTTTGTAGTCTTATGTAGTGTATCAGTAAACTTTGTAGTTGAGTCCGACTTTTTTGTAGTCTATCAGTAAACTTGGTAGTCTATATCTGATTCCTTTTTTGGTCATTTTCCCCACGATACAATAGTTGTAGCCCTTTCTTTTAGCTTTCTAAATATACTGAAATCATATTGTTTGGTTTTGTTTTCATGGAGAAAAATGCAAAAAACAAAAAAAAAAAACACGACACTTTTGGGATTCCTTTACCTCATATCTCCACAACGGGAGCACTTCAGAACATAATTCGAACAGATTCAGGAAGCTACAGTGTAGGGCTACAACTTTTGTTTTTTGACCATTTTTGGTAATTGGTCATGTGACCATCATCCCAACATCCCATTACATGGACCCTGATAGGTAAAATCATTCTCCAGTTGGTTTTCTTCACTTTTTGGTCAAACCAGGTGATATTTCCCTTTTGGGATGGAACCTGAAGTGGACCCTGAAGGCAGTGCCTGATGTTCTGTACACCATTTATATATATATTCAATATTTCCGCTATTTTTGGATATATTACCATATTTGGAACTGGACCCTGGACCCTGACAATGTTACAACATGATGATCAGCAATGAGCCCTAATTTTTCCTGATTTTATTGCCATTTTACATTTGGAAATGCACCCTGGACCCTGAAAGGTCAGCTGCCACTAAAAATGAAATATTCATTGAAAGCGCCAGGTACACATATGAAAAGTGCAATGAAATCTCCTAGGAATAAGAATGAAATATCCATTGAAAGCGCCAGGCATCCAAATGAGAAGCACAATGAGATATCCTGGGTTTAGCAATGAAATATCCAATGAAAGCACCAGGTATATCTATGAAAAGTGCAATGAAATATCCTAGGAACAAGAATGAAATATCCATTGAAAGCGCCAGGCATTCAGATGAAAAGCACAATGAAATATCCTGGGGCTAACAATGAAATATCCAATGAAAGCGCCAGATATATATATGAAAACTCCAATGAAATGTCCTGGAGCTAAGAATGAAATATATATTGAAAGCACCAGGCTTTCATATGAAAAGCAAAATGAGATATCCAGAGATAATGAATGAAATATTGCAGGAAATCACAATGCAATATTAATGAGATCACTTAGGCCATTTAATGAAAAAACCAAATGAAATACACAGGGAACTTAATGAATGAAAATACTAGACAAAATAATGAGTTGTCTCATTGAACCTCTAGGCATTATACACAATGAAATATCTAATGAAAGTGCCCAGTATCCATATGAAAATTGCAATGAAATATCCTGGGGTTGAGAATGAAATATATATTGAAAGAGCCAGGTGTCCATATGAAAATTGCAATGAAATATCCTGGGGTTGAGAATGAAATATATATTGAAAGCACCAGGTATCCATATGAAAATCGCAATGAAATATCCTAGAACAATGAGATATGTGATCTCATTGAACCTCTAGGCATTATACACATCGCCCTCCAGGCATATGTCTGGTTTTTATCATAAAAGTGTATACCACCCATCGAATGGAGGTGGTGTTCTTATCGGATACATGCCTGTCGTAAGTCATAAGTGCTTGCCATTCACAAATAAATTCTCATGCGAGCTGGGTATAGATCGAGGATCCATCAGATCCAACCAGCTGCTCTGTGGCAGAGAAGGAGGAATTTGCACACTTCAAGCAGGAAATATATCAAAAGGTTTTAAAGAAAGTGTTCCAAAACTTGAAGCAACGTTCGCAACATGGTGAAGCTCACTGTTGTGCGGATGGCTTAAACCAGGTCCTTCACCTGGGAATTCTCATTGAATCACAGGATGCAGAGGAACCAGCATATTTCTGTGGCTGCCGGGCTGCATCAGCTCATCATCCATGTCCTAAATGCCTTGTCGCTCAATCAGATCTGCATAACATCTTGGGTAATTTTGAGCTACGTACACCGCAGTCCATGCGAGCAGTACTTACAGAAGCCTCGAAGGCAAAAACCATGGCCGCGAAGGAGAAAATTCTCAAGGATAATGGTATGCACAACATTGAGGTAAGCCTTCTTGATCACTGATTTCCGTTCATCTCCTTCAACTACCACTCTTATAGCACTTCCTTTGGGATTTTCGATTTTCTGATCCCTACAAGGCATATTCATATGATACCCTACACTCAGACGACTTGGGAAAATGGGGAAAACATTTGTGGCCACTGTTGCTTGACGTTCTGGAGGAACATAGTGCCAAAGGAACAGAATGGTAACCATCTGAATTTCTCACATTTCGACCAAGATTATCACTAACGACCCCTAGAATGGCAATTTTTCCTCGCTGGAGTGGTCTTAAACATTGCAACCACATCACCACCACTCATTTTACAGACGGGCAGGCATTCTATGACATTCTCAAGGTACGCTTTTCAAAAATTTGACAAGTCAGCACATCGTTGAATGATTTCCACTCACTGTAGTGCATTCTGCCATGCATCGTGGATTTCCTTCCAAAAAATTCGGTACTAGTGCATTGCATTCATGCTTATCTCCATTTTCGAATACTTGTTGGCCTTCAATGCATGACTGAAAGCTGACTGGAAAGGCTTCAGCAAGCCTTGTCCGTCTACCAGAAATGCTGTGCTGTCAGTCACACAGTGTTCTCGTTTTTGAAGGCCATAATAATGCTGTGTTTCTCCATAGGCCGTCGAGCGGGAATATGGCAAGAGCTTTAACTTTCTAAAGCAACATGCTTGCAGTCACGTACCTCAAGACATACGCGAGAAGGGAACAGTTGACAACTTCTCAACTTGTTACAGTGAAGGATTTCAGCAAGAAGCGGCACAGTCTTTTGGCCAGACAAATATGAAGGAAGCAGAGCATCAGGTAACGCTTATCATGGATATTTACTTATGCACGTTTGATTGATGACTTCTGGTAGATGTGTATCATCGATGAGAAACAGGAGGCCATTGCTCGGATATGCATGGCCATAGATAACGACAAAAAGGCACGTCTGAACCTTGAGTTGGCAGAGGACATCAACGAAAGAGAAGTGTTGGATTTGGAGTCAGAAAGCTCTACAACCTGGCGGTTTGGATCACCAGAGGGAAAGAAGATGAACCTTCATGTTGTGGCTGTCAACCTTGCCAATGACAACCACCGATATCGTTCTCTCGATGAAAGATTGCGAGATTTCATCGCCTTTAACATGCCCAAGGAAGCAGTTCAGATGCAATTTGAAGATGACATCTACGTGAGCCTATAACTTCCCAGATGTCAATCCTGAGTTATGGCTCAAATGAATTGTTATCTCACACAGGTACAAAGGTATAAATGTGTCATACTCAAGTATCAGTCAGTGGAAGATTGGACTGAAGGAACAGATATCATGCATTGCAACCCAGATTTCCACGGACGCCATTGCTTTGATTGTGTTATCATTCATGATGATGCACCAAAACTCAGCGTTGCTCGACTCTGTGATCTGTTTTGTTGTTCGCTTCCATCTGGGAAGACACTGGATTTAGCCCTTGTTCACCATTTCTCTTGCAGTCAGTGGAAGCCGAGGACGGTGTGGGATGGATGCAGAGTGCTCTATGAGGAGCCAGACACCACCTTGGTTCGTATGGATTACCTAGTTCGTGGTGCTCTTGTCTGTCCAGTGAGCGAGCAAGCAGATGAAAAGTTCTATTATTTTATTGACTGCATTGAGCCTGATATCTTTCTCTGAGAGAACATTTGAATATACCAATACTTTCCATTCCTCCACTGATTCCTACCGGATTCCACGGATTCCGGCTGGAATCCAGGAATTCTGCGGAATTCCAGGAATTCCGTGGATTCCGGCTGGAATTGACAGGAATCCAACTGGAATAGACAGAAATTTCAGTACGAATCTATACTTCTCAGTTCCCCCTACAATTCCACTTTAGCTAGATGTCATATGACTTAATCTGCACTTATCAAGACCTCCTGAATTACTTGTGTAATGCAGTCAGTCAATCTATTATTCTATTCTATGCTGATAACTTAAACTTAGGAATTGCTTATGATATTCAAATTTGAACATGGATAATTCAGGTGTATTCACTAGAACTACATGAGATTATTCTACTACAAAATTATCCTACTACATAGAGTGTTAAAGGGAGGGGGGAGGGATGGAGGGAAGGGGGAGAGGGGTGAAGGAGAGAGGGGTGAAGGGGAGAGGAGTGATGGGAGAGGGAGTGATGGGGAGAGGTGGTGGGGAGTGATGGAGAGGGGAGGGAGTGATGGAGGGGAGGGAGTGAGGGAGAGAGGGGGGAGGGAGGGAAAGAGGGGGAGGAATGGAGAGAGAGGGGGAGGAATGGAGAGAGAGGGGGAGGAATGGAGAGAGAGGGGGCATGGAGGGAGGGAAGAGGGACAGAGGGAGGGAAGAGTACTGGGCCTCGTCGCTGTTCGTCGGCCTGTGCTTTACGTCGTTCCTGTCGTGTCTTTGTTGCCGTGCTCGCCGTCGTCCGTTGATGTGGGCGTTGTCTGCTGACGTCGTCGTCGTCGTCGTCCGCTTATGTGCTCATTGTCCGCTGACGTGGGCGTCGTTGTCCGCTGACGTCGTCGTCGTCGTCTGTTGACGTGGGCGTCGTCCGTTGACGTGGGTGTCGTCCGTTGATGTGGTGGCGGTCCGTTGACGTGGTGGTGTGTGGGTCATCTGCTGTCTGTCCCTCATTGTGGGCGTGGTGTTAGCGAGCTGGGTTGGGATGAGGTTGGGGGGGGTGCTCACCTAGGACGACGAACGACGAAATCGTCGTTCGTTGTCTGGTTGCCATGTCGCTATCAGCGATGTGGCAACGTGTTGCCGTGCTTGTTTACTAGGGTTGTTGATGTGGCGTTGAGGCGTCGTTTGCCACGTTGTGGCCATCGTCGTTGTCTCATCGTTGTGGCTGGTGTGCGTGGTGGTGGACGTTGGCGATGTGGTGTGTAGGCGTCAGTGATGATGGTGGTTGGAGAGAGATGTGGCGTTGTTTGTTGATGATCTGACGTTTGATTTGGGCATCAGGAATTCCGTTCCGTCTGATTCCGTGAGCATTCCTTCTGGGTGATCACCGGAACCATTCCAGCGGAATTTGAATTCCATTCAAAATTCCGCGGAATAGTTTGATCAATTTGGCAGGGCCCTCTGCCAAATTTGATTCCTCCGGAATTCCAGGAATTGCCCGGATTCCACCGGAATCCGGCAGGAATCAGTGGAGGACAATAAAGACCTCAAATATACTGTAGCCTTGACATAAATGTAGATAGCCTTGATCCCGAACGCTTTTAGCAGTTTCATGGGTGTCTATCCGTCGCATATTCAGCCACTGCCGCCTAATGACCTCGACTCTTCCTCATGATGTCATATACAAACCACGAATTGGGCGATTGAGGACAAGAACAGAGAAAGTGCTTTGTTGGTTGCCGAAAATCAACCTTTTATGGTCAAAGAACACGGGAGAGGTGGAAGTGTTGAATGGGCGGATGAAGGGGCACAGGGGCTCGGGCGGTGTTGGGAGACAGTTGTCGTGAAAAATCTCCAATGCGCGTGTGTTCCAGAAAGCAGTTGTAATCATGTACTCTTTGACTGAAAATGTTCAGAGAATGGAGGGAGGCTGAAGGTTGAGGGAGAGGGCGTAGCCAATGTAGATGCAGAGAAAAGAGGATAATGACATTTGTCGCAATGGCAATCCGGGGAAGCCGAAGGCATCGATGGAGGGAGCCGGTCAATAGCAGCTCCGTATAATTCCCCACACAAGCTGATCAGCCATCTGCAACAGCAGGTCCCGGTCAACCATCACATGGAGGAAACCTGGGGTTGACCTGTCCAAACTTCAAAACTGGAGCAGTTCCACAAGCAAAACCACATACGATGATATCTCTCCACCAGCAGCGCGCCAAACCCTATCGCCACCATAAGCTCCGATCGAATCCTCGTGGACGCGCGTCGGCCAAACCACAGGTGCTGTACATCAGCCTGGGCTTTCAGAAGTGTGCACGTGAACGCCAGGAAGGCGTAGATGTACACCTGGGTTTGGCTTTCAGGCGTAGGGTGTTCCAAGTCGATGGCATCGAGAATTAGTCTTGGGTAGACTATCAGAGGGGAAGGATAAGAGGAGTACCAGGTGTACTTACTTGAGGAAGAAGGGGCCGGCGTATTTGAACACTACACTTACAAACGTTAAGCAGAAATCGAGGCTGTCGCAAGGTTAGCGGCGAAGATTTGAAAAGAGAAGTGTAGCGTACATTAAATCAAGCGAGTTGGCGGTCCAAAGGCAGCGTAGGAGCGTCGACTGTGCAATTGCGCTGAATGTGACGAAGATTGGGTGTGATTGCATCGTTGGGCTGAGGTTCCACACATCACTCTCATTCAGGGTATTATCCCTGCCCAAGTTGACGAGGGGTCTGACCCAGAAAAAGGTGACCCACCCCCAGAGGGAGGTGTAGTCTTCTGGAGTAACAGATCGGCCCTGTTTGATATGTTAGCTATTGTTGAGGGGTATAGCACACGATCTCGGATGAAATGAGCGCCAAACTTCAAATTCGCGCAATTATCCGGGTGATGCGAGGATGGCAAGTTTCGTTGATGATATCACCCACAAGAAGGATGGTCTTTGATTGAGTTAAAAGGCATGTAAGTAGAAAGTTGAGAACATGGTTCGGAGTCTGCAAAACTAATTACTGCTTGGTTTCGTTGATCTGTTTGGCTCTGTTTGGTTTTGTCTTTTTGGAAGCTGGCCATCATCGTATCGCACAATCTGACCAATTCTCAAGTTTCTGACTGCGCAAATCGACATGTGGCAGATCCAAAACAGTCAATGGTTGTGCCAACGTTCGCTACAAAGGACACGGTGTTCAAGCATCAGTTTCTGGGCGATAATTCCGAGTGACATCTATGTTTGTGCACTCCACAGATCAGAAAGGTTGGCGTCATGCCCCACTCCTGAGCCGACCAAACATTTAAACAGTTGAGACAGTGAGTAGTTCCTCCAAATGGATCGCAATAACCCTCAACATCACATCTCGCTCTTATGCAGCCAACCCAGGCCAGAGAATTCCGATGAAGACATTTGGTACTTCCCACCTTGTCTGGAGGAGAAAAGCACAGACCCTGCCCCCTCCGTTTCTGCTCATCCTCATTCACGCCATTCCAAGACAGGTCAGCAAACTCAAAACAGCGCTGAAGTCGAACTATCATACTCACCACCTGATAAAGAACGAATCAATACACCTCCTGCCTTGCCTGTGCATGTTCATTCTTGTTCACCCCATTCTCAAGCAATGCAGAGAGTATCGCATAAAATTCCTCTTCATACGCGGCATGATCACAAGTATTAGTTACCTTACCCCACTAATACTGAGCCCCCCGACCATACAAACAGACCATAGTTGATGGTGCCTGCTGATGAGCCCATGGATCAGTTGACCCCATCAAAGGTGGACCGGCCATCAAGACTCTCTTAGGACTGGTAATGTGCATCGGCTGAGAAGTGTACCCCATGAATTGACATAGCTAAAAATGCCTTGGATCCTAGGTCAACCGATCTCTTCATGGATTGGGCTCAACATGTGTCATGGGTCAGCTGAAGAGCTCTAAATCCCATGCATTGTGGATCAGCCCACAGCCGTCTCATTTTTATTTGCCAAGTTTACCTCGGCTTTTCATTGCCGGTCATCATGCAGTTTACTGGGTCGGGTCCATCACCTACCAAGAAGCCGAGCACGGTGACATGGTCAGTCAGCTAGTACCCCATGAATTAAATATGCCTTGGATCCTGGGTCAACCCGTCTCTTCATGGAATGGGCTCATGTGTCATGGGTCTGCTGAAGAGCTTTGAATCCCATGCAGCGTGGATCAGCCCAACCTGGTCCCATCCAGTTGACACTATACGGCCGAGTTTCGTCTTCACTCAGGTTTTATTTGCCAAGTTGCTCAAACATTACCTCGGCTTTTCTTTGCCGGTCATGGTCCAGTATTCGGTCATGCAGTTTACTGGGTCCATGACTTCCCAAGAAGCCAAGCATGGTGACGTTCACAAGGCAGTGAAATATATTATGCACACCCCCGGTTCAAAATCCCTACCAAGTTTATACCGACCAATGTTTCTTGTAAACATACCCATGTTGGAACGGGTCTGGCTCAAACAACCGCACTCGGCTGCCTGAAATAAACGCCAAGCTGTTACTATGCCGGTCTCCATTGGACAAAGTTGCTCCAAGATCCCCCCGCTTTCTTACTGCTTTCATTATTATGTCCACCACAGGACTTCATATTAAATATGCCCAAAAAAAAATTGAAGATTGTCCAAAAAATATACATGTATGCTACTAACTATTAAGTAGACGGAGTTTGGACAGTTTGGACATCATTGTTTGTAACTTGCTGGCAGTCAGATTTTTGAATCCTCACCAAGTAGAAGACTTACTCTGTGCGGGGGTTTGAAGTGTGGGTTCGAGTTTCTGTAGCCGAGGTGACTTCCTATTACCCCCAATGTAAGGACCGGGCGAACTTGCCCGGGTTGGAGGAATTGGGTTTGGCGCCAACAGAAGGACCGCTGGGCTCTCAGATGCTGGAGGCAGAAAGACGGCCGGGGTTGGAGAGACTTGCGCGTGATCGGTTGAAACTGGGTTTGGCAGAACGACACCCGGGGTCGGGGAGACTTGTACCTGCTGGCTTTTCTGACCGCGGTCGGGTGAGACTGAGCGATCGGTATTGATGCCAGTGTGCTTCTTCTCCTTGTTGCCGAGGAACTGGATAATGAGCGATTCCAGACTTGATTGGCGAGCACCGAGCCGCAGGTTGAGCTCCGAAATAGTAGTGACTGATTTGGTGAGGTTGTGGAGCGTTAGCTCGGCAGTTTCGATGCGGCTTGCAAGTTTCTCAAAGCCCCGGGTGAGACTCTCTTGTAACGCAGCTGGCGTAGTCTCCCACTTGTTCTCCAGTGTCTTGACGGCTTCCCTCACCTCAGCTTCCAGTCTCTGGTGATCACTTCGGATGGACTGCAAATCTTCTTGTGTTTCCTTCCAACGCATGTGGGCAGACTCTTCAATACGGTCCATCCGGCGAGTCGCTCCGGTGATTTTTTCTTCCTGAAACCAAACGGAGGTCTCTAGACTTGCAATTTTCTCCGACAGAGGACGGCTAGCCAAATCTTGATCTTGAATACACCGGGTAATCTCTTCGAGCGCCAAAAGACGTTGTGACAGGGTCACGGGTGAGTCAACTGCCGGGGGGAGAAGGGCACTTGCGTCAATATCTTGTTTTCGGACCACAAATGCCGAATACTCTCGCATAGTAGGGGTAGACGACTCCATGACGCTGACTTGCGCTTGTTGGTCTTGGAGTTTCTGCAGGAGGTCGGCTTGGCCATGAGCAAGTCTTCTGATCTCCTGCTGCATCGTCTGCATGTCGAAGTTCGGTGGGGGGCTCAAGGACCTAAAGTCAATCTTCTTCTGATAGAGCGCCGTGTCAACTAAGTTTTCAAGTTGAGAATCATGGGAAATGAGAAAACAACTTGAAACGTACGATGAACCTCCTTGGGATCTGGTGGGCTGACCTGCCGAGAACGGGATACCGAACGCGAACCTTCTGGCCAGGACGTGCGCTCAACAGGTGGGGGTGTAAAGCTTTGTTGCATATAATTGACAGCCAAGCCCAATTCTATAAACGAAGTCAGCAAAGAATAACGAGTTTCATGAATTTTTTACCTGGCCGCATTGCTAACTCGGGCACGATCCACTCCATCTCACTGGCTGGCGGCCCAATCTCCCGGCCCTTTCCTTTGTCAGTGTTGGTACCGACCTCGGTCTCAGTGCTCTTGAAAATCGCCGATGTGTGTGGTGTGGGTGGCTCAATGATTATGGTGGGAGTCACCCGGCCCACGTCTTTGTCGGCTTTTGGACTGGCACCGACCTCGGTTTCCTCATGTTTGACTTCGGCCATCTCTATGTCGATACCACCCTCGGACTTCCCCTTTCCCATTGTCAGACCAACCTCCATGTCCACGTCAATTGCATGTTCCACATCATGCCCGACTCCGGCCATTTCGACATCCTGCTTGCCCTTCTCTTTGACATCCGGCTTCACCTTCTTCACCTGCGGCTTCTT